AAACCCTAAACCCTAACCCTCAACCAGGAGAAGGCCAAAGGTGTCAGCCCCGCTGGAAAGTGGCCTACGGCCCCTGAGGAGCTCGTCCAGCTGCTACTCGGTAGGTTTAGGGGCCTAAATACTTACCTCAGTTCTTGTATAATATACCCCAAAACCCTATTCTAATTATTCAGGCCCCTGTATTGATTAGGTTTAGGGAGTTTAGGGCTCTTTCAGCAACTACAAGGGGTTCTTATAAGGGTCCTTAGCTGTGCGATGCGTTTTAGGCACCTAAACGCCTGCTTTTGTTCCGATTATTCTGCAACCTCAGTTCCCTTAATCCGGCCAGGAAGCCGGAAGTCCAAAACCTTGAATCCCGAATTCAACAACACCAAGTATAAACCCTACAGAACCCTAAACCATACAATAAATCCACAATAAAACCCTAAATCCACACAGCCTGAAACGGTGTAAAACCCTACGACGCCTTGAAAGCCGAGGCAGTGGGAGTCGGATCGCATCCGCGCTCAGGCGACCCGACCGGGAAGCGGCAGCGTCAGCTTCGACGAGTGGGCGAAGTACGCGACGCACATGAAGGAAGGTGTAGGGTTTAGGTTTAGGGTTTAGGGCAGTTTGGGGTGTAGGGTCTAGGGGAAAGGATTCTTATGGGTGGCCCTATGAGGGATAAGGTTTTTGGTGTTTTTTTTTGCAAGCTGTGTTTTTGCAGTCATGGGTTTCATATGGTTGCCATGCGGGCCCCTTTAAGGGCGTCTGTAAGGGGAAAGGGCTGGGTTCATACAAGGATTAGTGTGATTGTTCCATCAAGCTCTGCTGAAACAGAACAAAAGGATCCATGAGGATTCTGTATGAAAAGTATCAGGTTCTGTGAGGGTTCTTTATTGGGATCTCTACGGGTTCTATACGGATGTGTCAGGGCCTCTTTAAACCCTAAACCCTAATCTAAGGGTTTAAGGTTCAAGGTCAGGTTCCGGGTTTTGGATCGGAAGTTCGGGGTTTAGGGTTTAAGGGGTGTGTACACAGTGTGCGCGCAGTGGAACCATGTCCCCCTGGTAATCCCTATACTAAAAACCAAACCCTAAATCAAATAACTAAATACCAGAAAATTCACGCCAGAGCCCTTCTTCATTTATTGAGGCCCCTAGGTTGCACTTACCAGGCAAGAGCCTCAAAAGCTGAAGGTCTCGTAACGCTCCGTCGAGCCCTTATAAACTCCACCAAGTCCCTATACGTTCCGTTTTCAAATTTTGCAAGTCCGTACAAAAGCCTTGCAGAAACTGCCAAAACCCTTGGAGCTGTCGGATCAGGAGAAGATGGCCCAGCACGGGAACTTCGTCCAAAAGTGTAGGGAGTCGACATCAGAGGTTTGAAGGGTTCAGGGTTTGGGGTTTAGGGTTTAGCGCGGGGTTTACGAGTTTAGGGTTCCAGGACTAGGCTTGGGCTCAGGAGTTTTGACGAAGGGCTTTGTGTGTTTGTGGGGTTTCGGGCTTCGTTTTAGAACATAGGGTTGAGGCTTTCGAGGTTAGGCTAGGGCTTGTGCTTGGGGAGTTCGGGCTCAGGAGTTGAGGGGGCATAGGACTTGTTGATTTTTTTCGGAGTCTTTGGTTCAGCCATGCCTTTCTAGGAGTGGTCGCGTGTCTACAGAGTCGACGAGACTACGGTTTAGGGTTCAGGGTCTGGGGGACTTCATCGAGACCTCGTTCAAAAAGGGTTTGGGGACTTAAGGGTCAGGTGTTAGAGTACCAGTTGCGGTTTGGGTTTCGGGATGCAGGCTCAAGGTGTAGGTCTGGGGTTTAGGGTTTAGGGCTAAACCCTAGACCCTACACCCCAAACCCTGAGGATTTTCGAAGGAGCCTGAGCACTTAAATGAAGCAAGAAACAGGAGAAACACATAAGCTCGACATATGAGTGGAACACAGATTCCCTCAACCTGCTAGTGGCCAGCGGCACAATGTGCCCGAGAATCATGTTTTGTCTATGCGGACTTGCCGAAAGCAAGCTTTGCCGATGAATCCCAGGATAGTGGAGACCGCAGATGCTGCCGAACTGGAAGAGGGCGCCGAACTTTGGCCTGCGTCCTAATGCCCAACGGCTCCTCGCGCCCCCTGCAGCCCTGCAGCGGGATCCAAACTTTCAAGAACGTCCGAGACTTTGAGCCGTAATTCCTAAATTAAGGGGAGAGGTAGCGATGCGCGAGCAAGGGGCCCTGAAGCCCAAGGGTTGGTGGCCAAAATGGCCGTGCTGCCCCCTCGTCTGCGCTGCCGAAGAGACAAAATCGGACTGGCTTCACACTTCCGAAGTTGCTGTTTCGTCTTGAGGGTGTCGCCTTTCGCAGCTTAGCCCAGTTTCACCCGCAAGGCTAAAGCCAAATACCCCATCGTGTTGGCTAACATGGCATGCCACTGGAGAGCTTGATGAGTCAACCCTGTTTGCATCCAAAGCACCGTAGGCGGTGCTATCGACAGCATGTATAGACAGCACGTTCCAGTTTCTTGCCCAACTCAAGTGTTCTGCGTGCGAGCAACTAGGGGGTCGGTCTCCAAAAGACAAGAGTGTGGAGGTCGAAGAAATTTAGCGGACATTTCTGCGGTAAGGAACACTCCCCTCCTAGAGCCCTGAACCCCAAACCCTATAAATCACAGGCTTCAAAACTTGGAGCCTCTTGAACTCAAGCTACTCTGCGATGCCGGTTTCCTCCTAGCCACATATTTGGGGGAGAACATGGAGCCTCCACCCTGAACCCTAGGTGGTAAACACTCCGTCATCGGGGCTTGGGGCTTTGGGGAGGGTTTAGGGTCTAGGGTTTAGGGGAAAGACTGATGCTCACAATGACTTGGATTCACAAACCTTGAACCCCAAACCCAGGAGAAGGCCCTTGTTTCGTGCAGAAAACCGCAAGAACATACCCCCGCGCCGGAACAGGCTAGCTGCGTCAGCTGAGGAGAAGGCTCGGGGCGTTTTGCCGAGATTCGGATTCAGGATTCGTTGGGCTGCGGCGTTGGATTTGGGGAATGTCTGGGCAAACCGGCCAGATGGCTCCAAATCCAAAACTTCCTGTAGGATCCGATTAGATCCCACATCCTCATAATCCCAGAGCCCAGAAGCGCAGCATAGCTTAAGCGCGAAGCGACGTCGGCCCGGATCTGCAATGTGGGCTTCAAGCCTAGAACCACTTCCCGGCCTGTGCTTCTCGGCCAGACCCCCGGCACGGCCCTGCCTGCATCGCCCCGGTCCGCCATCGCGGAGGCTCCATTTTGGCGTGAGTAAGTGGGGATGGGGGGCTGGAAGATGAAGAACTCGATGACTTTCATGGTTGTGATGACGATGGCAGAGATGATGGTGGTGATGATGATGGTGATGATGGTGACTTTGGCCGTGGCTGATGTTGACGGTCATGCTTCGGAATGCCAGCGGTGCCTTCACAGTTTTCTAGGTCACCCTAAACCCTAAACCCCAAACCCTAAACCCTAAACCCGTATCGTAGAGACTTGAGTTTCGGAGGGTAGATGCAGGCCCTAAGCTCTAGAGCTGCAGAGATTCCCTCGAACCCCCGGGCTTCTTTGAGGGCTCCGTTTTTGGGGATTCCTTTTAGGGTTTAAGGTTTAGGG